ATTTATAACCCAACCTAGAGAGCTATTATTCTCAGAATTATTTAATAACGCAGTAAGTGTATTAGAGCTTCTATATATAGCATTAATCTAATATTTAGTGTTAAGTAGTTTATGTGACTTACCAATAAAGGTTTTATGATACAGTATAATGAAGTAAGGTTTATTAAAGTGAAATTTTTGCTCATATTATGGAAGACCGGAAAAGCACGCGCATGAGCTAGCGGCTTCCGTATGCAACAACTGCAAAAGTCGACCTCTTCCTTAACGTCAAAAAGTCAAAACTTATTAGAAAATGATCCATTAAAACATATCTGTAAGCGAATCAGAGTGCGAACCGCCTAAATAGGCTGACTCAGATCTTTCATCTCAATGACTGTACCATTTATCTTCATGTTCCTTGGTCGCCTGTTCTTTCGGGTCGCGGAGGCAGATGCGTCTGACTCCTAACCTATATTTACACCAGGTTAATCTTGGCCGTCTCCTGCGCCTTCTGCAGGTCGATTTCGCAAGGAAGAGTTGCTTAGCCTTCCTTTCTGGAGGCATTGGCAACACTAGGCCAAACCGTCGCAGCTGTGACTTATCATTTAGCCAGAGTTAAATCAGATAATCGCCTTAGATTCAAGTCTTTTTAAAGCCTATCTGATAGGTTGAATAGGGCTTGTCCCTTTCAGCAAAATCAGAATCTACGTTGCCTCTATCAAGGCAGTGTTACTGAACGTCATGGAACCAGTTGTTCTAAGGAAGGAGCATGATGAAGGTTGAATTGCGCACAGCGGCGCTGGATTGAGCTATGATGAGGAATGCAGTTTACGACCACATATAAAATGATTCTCTTCTCTGCCGGTTACCGGTAATTTTATCTGATGTAGAGGCTAAGTAAAGCAGGTATATCCTGTTGTAGAAGTCAGTTGAGTACAAACTATGTATTGCAAGCCGAGAGCTGCTTGGTGGGAACCATAGCATAGTCAACTACGTCCAAGACGCCAGCATTCAACATGGAGGAACAAAGGAAAGGGAGACGTGCTTACTGAAAGGAATTATATTGTTGCCTTCATGGAACAGTGATCCCTGCCTCGTAGCAGAAGTATTGGAAAACTGCCGATTCAGCGATTATCAAACACAAAAGACGTTCTTCCAAAGCAAGCGATTCAAGGCGATACTCGATACTCTGAACCATAGCAATGTAGCATTAAATGACAGGTTGGAATATGTGAATACAGGTGCATTAATCAGTTTTCCGTTCATTTATAAAAAAAAGAATTTCATCCAGCTGTCAGTCAAATGAGTGTTCACCTCATTTTTTCATAATGCAACAAGTGGCTTGCGATTCATGGGTAATTTGAAATAGCCGGATAGGTCAGAATTGTGATAATGACGAAAAGTTTCGAATCAGCCGAAGCTAGCAGGTGATAAGACCATAGAACGAACGATGACGACGATATTCGAAGATCTGCCAAGCCAATATAATTTCATCGATAGTCGGTTAGCCGCTGTGATCACAGGAATGGAGGGCCCCTTTTGAAATTCCGTACATTGATAAGTAAACAATATACTATTCCTTGGGGTATTCATGCGAATCAATAATTTTCAGTCGTTACGGGCAGGTTATTTGAAATTTTAATGGGCATGCAACGAAGGGGTCGAAAAAACGTCAAGCTGTCTAAAATGGCTAAGAGCTTATCCGACAAGGTATTGAAACTAAGGAAGCTGGAAAAAGATTTTTTCAGTGCAGTTCAGGTAGTCACTGTAGTTATCTAGTTAGATTTGTAATCATTCCATGAAATTTGTGGCACTCTTCATTCTTTGTATTTTGTTTAGTAGCTGTCAAAATGCAGTGCATGCGATGACCTACCTAAATGGTACCGTAAAGATTTTGAATAAACGGGTGGTACAAAAACGCCTTTAAATCTGCAATGTCTGCGCTATGCTTCTGTTATTTATCTATAGGTTTTATAGATATCAACTTCAGATGATCAAGCAGGTGAATCGAGGGTGACTAGGCAGCAGAATCGTAAGTTTTGTATCCTCTGACATGTCAAAACTGGAAAACTGTAACATCCCAATCGTGCAAAATTGAACATGATATGCCTTTCTTAGCCCGCCGCAGCGAAGCGTTGTAGTCTTAATTAATCTTCAGGGGGCAATCATAAGTAAACAACAAAAACTCGAATGACGCCCAGCTTCAAACAAACAACCCTTAGTGGTTTTTTGATGTGCCTCAATGAAAAGCTTCGCCTTGTAGTTCTCAAAGTACGCAGGCAAGTTAAGAGAGTATCTCAAACATTTTAAGGAGTGTCAAAGCTTAAAGTAAGAGAATAGTTGAACTCTAGTACATATTAATATTGCAAAGCACAGCAGTGTGGTAAAACAGTAGCAAACCAAGAAAATACAAGAAAATAAGCCCATGGATTACCGTGTCGATTACCGTAACCGGCTAATTTTTACCTGTTCGATTAATCTATCAGGCGTCTGAAATTAGGCAATGCCACAATATCAGACCAATCAGTATAACTACCAATAATCATCTTCAGCACATATCTATGTCAGATATCTACCCAACTTAAGGATTGAGGGAGAGGAATGTGTTTGGCCCTTGTCCTGGCTATAGTTTCCATTGGAGTGACATAATTTTACATTAAAAACAGTTGGGATTATTGGAATACTCCACGTGGAAAATATCAGTGATTTCTGTAATTACAGTTTGAATTTAATAATTGAGTAGCAGAGTTTCTTTAATTAAACCATTAAGCCGCTACCATAGTTAAACTTGTTGTGAAGGAAATCCATTACAGGTCATTGATACAGAAATTAAGTAGCTGAATAATAACTTTTTCAAGAGAAGATCAACATTTGGTGCAAAGCGCCTGATCTCTACTTCAACTTGGAGAAGGCTAATGTTATATCAAATGGGAGACTTACTTTTCAAATATAAAGTAATGTGAAAATACTGAGTTACAGAGGGGGACTTCTGTCCTGTCCTTAAACCAATCTAGGACAGAGATGACGCCATTGAAACGGAGATTCTTCAGAATCCATTTGGAGCAGATCTTTTAACGGAAAAACTATGCCAAACATGACAAAACCACGGTACAAGAACTTTCACCGATTTGTCCAATTTCCAATACAGGCAATTGTAAGCTTCCACGTAATTGCTCAGCCTCAGGGAATTATAGTGAAAATGATGGGCAGCACTCGAGATACTATGCTCAAGATTGTAACTATCACTCTCCTGGAAGAACCTGAAAATCGACAAATGAATAAAGCAGGAAAGAGCGGAGGCTGAACATTTAGATTATATTCTGAAAACAATGACGACCGGCTGGAGAAAATGCTACTACAAGAATTTTTAGCATAGTATTACAAGAGTCACAAAGATCTGTTGTACTATAGCAGAGCCTTTCCAATTGGCTATTCCATTCCTATTTACAAAAGGGACAGTATTAGTTGCGAATTGTGATGTCTGGAAACCTGTGTGCTCTGAAAACCTGTCGAGCAGTCTTTTGCAAGTGTGACAACGCCGTCAATCTCAATGCAGTGCAGCCCCTTCGTTCCAATAAATAATAGGAGAAACGAGGACATAAGCACAAATGCATCACTTTCTTTCGCGTTTCGTTAAATTCTACATTTCCTACCTGATGATATGATTGAAAAGCTCTTCTGGGAAGAAATGGCCACACATCCGGAAATTGATTGGTCCACCGCTGCTATCTGCACCCAGAATTTGATTGGCTCGTTTCTGCACGATAAGGAAAGAACAGCTCACTGCTGGAATTCCATTGGCTAAATGCAAAGATGGAAGGGATGTGAAACAGTTAGATGTTTGTACTTCAATATAAC